GGGAGAGGGAGAGGGAGAGTGGGTGGTTATGGGTTGTTGCTGAACTCTTTGACCGTGGACCGTTCGTTGGACATTTGAAGGCCTTAATGATTTCGGAATTCGATGATCTTGGGCTCGTTGGATTCGTCTCGTCGAGCCGTTCGATTCGAGTATAAGCTCGTCAAAATCGGAGACCGTTTGGTTACTCAAATTGCGGTTTGAATCTTCCAACAGCGCTTTGAACCCTTGATTCGGACTCATTTGGGCTCGGATTGGGTTGATCTTGGTGTCGTTGGGTTCGTATTTCCGAGACGCTCAGTTTGACTGTAAGCTCGCTGAAATCGGAGTTCATATGCTCCCAAAATTAATTTTTGAAGTTTCCAACTAGCTTTTGCCTCGAAATTCGTGCCCGGTCAAGATAATTTTGAGATTACGTATCAGTATTTATACTATTTGCATTTTTACTATTTTATGTCATTTAGCGTATTGTTAACTATGTTAATGAACTCAAAAGATCTCACTATCAGTGGATTGGGCCACGCCTTCTGCCAGTGAACTAAATCACAAATTTGAGCTCCTGTACATCGCTGATGCAACTTCTTCTTCTGTGTACACCACATGAACCAGCCAATGCTCTCACTTGCGAGCTTCGCTAGAGGCAGTTGTCGCTCGGCTCAATAATATATTTCTTTCAAGTTTAGTGGATCTCTCTATTTATTGAGGATGTTGGAGACATTGATGCCCTAAGATGTAATATCCCATTCGATTTCCTTGTTTCTTTATTGTTGAGGGCTTCATGAAGAGGAACAGAGAGATGAGCGCAGAGAGCGAGCATGATGTACATAACATTTAAAACAAATGCATCTACATATTTAATATGAAAATTTTACCACTTAATTTTTCTCTATAGCTATGATATCATAAAAAAGAATTACATAACTTTTAAAATCATTCTATTTGTATGTCTAATATTTAAAATATTATATTCAATCACATAATACTTAATTCTTTAAATAACATAAAATACAACACTTCCTCTTTTTAAGTTTTAACTCTCCATCAAGCATTTCTACTCTTTTTCGTCACATGCGACCAATCCATTAATGCCCTTCTCCAGCCATATATTGTTGTTGCTTCTTGATTTCCCATAATAAATTCCTCGCCTATTCTATCGTAGAGATTCTTTTGATGCCACCGGTCCGGCCGTTGCAATTTCTCCAACAAAATCACATGAATTTCTCACCTTTCTTCATTATCAAGAGTTTTGATATTTTAAGTAGAGAGAGTAGAAGTAAGATAATAATTAATAGTAATAGTACACTAACAATAAGCCTTTATCCCACTATGTAGTGTCGGTTGCATAAATTTTTTTTTCTCCATTTTTTCCTTTTAAGAGTCAAATTCTTATCTAAATCTAATAAAGAAATATCATTTCTAATATTTTATAACCAATTTTTTAAAGTCTGCTGTTATATTTTTTAACATAAGTCAAATCTAATGCATATACTTTCCTAACTGGATCATCAAAAGGTTGTCATTTTATGTGACCAAACCATCTAAGGCGACTCTCTCTAATCTTATCTTCCACTGGAGCTACTCTAACCTTTTCACGCATTCATCTGAGCATCCTCGTCTCTACAACATCTAACTTAATATTATGCTTCTCTTTTAATGGTCAACATTTTGTACCATAAAGCATTGTAGGTCTCATCACCACCTTATAAAATTTTTGCTTAAGTTTGAGAGGGGCCTTTTCTATCACAACAAGCCTGATGCATTCCTCCACTTCAACCATACAATATGAATTCTACTAATAATTTCCCTGTCTATTTCATCATCACTTTGAACAATATACCTAAGATATCTAAAACGTGTACTCTTATTAAAGACTTGATCATCGAAAGTCATAATCTTCCTACTAAATTTATTATTATTAAAATTACCCTCCATATATTCAACTTTAGATCTACTCAAACGAAGACTCTAAGGTTGACCTTCATAATTCAAGTTTACATTCAACTCCCTCTCTAGTCTTATCAACAAGAAGAATACCATCAACAAAAAGCACTCACCATGGTACAACCTATTGCAAATGTCTAGTGAGAACATTCATGACTAAAGCAAAAAAGATATGGGCTTAAGGTTGATCCTTTATGTAATCCAACTAAAATAGGAAAATACTTAGTTAAACCAGCTTGTGTTTGAACACAAGTAACAACTAATGTATACATATCCTTAATGACTTAAATATAAGCATTATTAATCTCCTTCTTATGTAGAACTCTCCATAGCACACTTCTCTTGGAACTTTATCATATGCTATCTCTAAATCAATAAAATCATATGTATATCCTCCTTATTCTCCCTATACTTCTCAATCAAAGCTCTCAATGAATATATAGCTTACATGGTAGACCTACCTGACATGAATCCAATTTGATTTGAAGAAGAATTAGTGTCACGCCACAACCTATGCTCCATAGCTCTGTCCCATAGTTTTAAAGTATGACACATTAACTTAATATCTCTATAATTCACACAATTATGTGCATCACCTTTATTCTTAAAAATAGAAATCAACACGTACACTCATTCTCCACTCATCTAATATATTTTTAGTCTTCAAAATAATATTAAAAAAAATTAGTAAGCCAATAAATTCCCTCATCTCCTAAGCATTTCCACAGCTCTTTCGGAATATCATTAGGTCCCAAAGTTTTTCTACACTTCATTTTCTTTAAAATCTCTTTAACTTAGGTTTTACTAATACACCGACAAAAACAAAAATCATTATTTTTATTTAGGATGCTAATGTCACTAAAGTCAATTGCATTCTCACGATCTTCATTGAAAAATTTAGCAAAATTGCTCACACACCTTTGTTGAATATTCTCTTCTAATAAAAGCATTTTTTTATCTTCAGCCTTAATACACTTCACTTGAACTAAATCCTTACTACTCATATCTCTTTGTTTAGCTAACTTATACATATACGTATATCTTTCACCTTCCTTGAGATCTAATTTATTATATAAATCATTAAAAGCTAAAATCTTTGTATCAATATTATTTTCTTAGACTCCTTACGGGCCTCTTTATATCATTTCCAATTATCAAAACGTTTACATCTAAATCAATTTTATAACAAATCTTATTTTTTCATCTTTTCTTACAAGTTTTGACTCTGCCACAAACTATTTTTACTTTTAGTAGGTTTTCCATTTAATATCCAAACACATTTTTTGTAACATTATTAATATCACTAGCTACTTTTTTTCACATAACATTAGTTTTTTCATTCACAGACAAAATCTTAAGATCTAGCTATAATATTACTCTAAAAATAATTTATTGAATACTATTTAAATGCCTCATCTAATCCTAAAACAATGATTCACCTTATGTTTTATTTTTTGTCCCTTCATCTTAAAGTTTAAAACTAATAAGCGATGTTGGTATATAAACTTTCACTTGTAATAACTTTACAATCTTTGGAGTCTAAACGATCAATTTTTCTTATAAGAAAATAAACAATCTGAGTTTTATTATATACATTCATATGTGATGAGATGCTCATATATTTTCTTAAATAAGATATTAACAATTACAAAATCATAAGTTAAAGAAAAATCTAATATAATCTTACCACCTTCATTAGTTGCTCCAAAGCTATAGTCACAATGAATATTTTTTTTAAAATCACCTATGTCTCTACCAACATTTCTATTTAAATATCCACCCATAAAAACTTGTTATTCAAGCGGTATCTTTTGTATTAATTTTTCTAAGTCATTACAAAATTTTAATTTTGAATTTATATCCAAATCTACTTGAGGAGCATAAGCACTTATATTATTAACAATTTTAGCATCAATAACAATATTTAAATCTATAATTATATTACGAATTCCATTAATTTTTACAACATTATTATTCAAACTCCTATTTATAATCACACATACATTATTTCTAAGACAACTCCTACCAACATACGATAGTTTAAATCCTACACTATCAATCTTCTTAGTCTTCTCTACAACTCATTTAATTTCCTGGATGAATAGAATATTCATCTTCCTATGAATTATAATATCTATTAATTTCATTAATTTGTTTGTAAGGGAACCTATATTCTAAATTCCTATCATAATTTCAACAATCTAACACAACCTCATCCAAGATTTGAGACCTAGCAACAACAATGTTAGTTAATAGTATTAGTATATTAAATAAAAAAAAAATTATTTTGAATATATAAATAGGACAATTTTAAGTGTCTAGTATGTAAAGCTCTCAATAAAAATTTTTAAAATGCAAATGAAATGATAATTTTTCATTTACATAACACAGATAATTAAATAAATATAGTACTTTTAATACCAAGAGAGATGACAAGTAAATATATTTTAACCAACAGTCTTTAAGTCAAGCAATCTGCTCCATAGTTCTGATATTAGAGGTCATTAGTTTAAGACTCGAATGTGATCTCACAAACTCCACAGACAGAATTCAGTTTATAACTAAACTTTTGCCCTCTTTTTTTTTTTTTTTTGTATTTGGCCTCATGCATAATCATTTCCAACTAGTCTAAGCCCTACTATCAATTATTCAAATCTTCTTCTTTTTTAAATTTGGATTAATTAAGATAAACTCACATACATCACATACATTAAATTCAAACTCTCGTTTGGGACAGTTTTCGTATTGCTTTTTAAAATGACTTTTTAGTACAAAAATTTAAAATTCAAGAAATTTTTATATCATAAAGTCATTTTAGAAAATAAGAACAAAGCCGTCCCAAATGAAATCCTACTTGATAATCAAAGTTCTCAACCAACAGACCAAAAAGAATCACATAACTACTCAAATCTCAACAGTGCATCAAAAGTAGCTTCACATTCAAATGAAGTGACTGTTCAGACGAGGACAAAAATAAGTTACATGATCTATTAAAGCTAATTTGCCAGCAACATATGGAACTAGAAGCAACTCCTAGGGTTTGATGCAAGACCTCGGGTCAGCTCTGTCCTGAAAAACATTATAGAGGAGTTGTATCGACAATGGCCTCCAAGATTCTCTTGTCCAGGTTTTCTTCAGAAATCCACATTGAACTTTGCTGGCGTAAAAGGTCCTTCTTTTCTGTCTTCTTCTGTTCCCTCAGTTGCTCTTTCTTCCGCCAGCTTTCAAGCTTTTCAGCTCTTTCTTTCAACTGCATCGACATGTTCAGTTATGATTATCAGCAATGGCCATAAGCTTATCCACAAGTATATGGAACTATTAGTAATAGTGCAGCGAGGCAAAAGAATTTTGCAAGGAATCTAATCAACGCAACTAAAGAACAAAAAATAGGGTATGTACAATTGCATAAAACCCTTAAGCGGATGAAAAACACAAAAGTTAAATATTAGTGTGATTAAACATTGAAAATCATTTAGTTTAACCTTACTAAACTTCAAATGAAATGCAAAACACGGTAAATGAATATATGGAAGGAGCAAAAGTTCTCGCAATTGGCATAATTTTGCCTGAAAGAAAAAGATTCCAATAAATTACACATTTGGTTAAACGACTTGGGGTTTATTTGGGACAGCTTTCTTCCCGCTTTTAAAACAATTTTTTGGTACAAAAATTTCTAATTCAAAAAATTTTTATACTAAAAAGTTATTTTAGAAAGCAGCAAAAAGCTGTCCCAAATGAAGCCTAAGTTAATGATTGCTTATTAGAGTAGATGAAATAATCAAGCTTTTGGTCTCCTAGTAAATAAGGACATCATTTCTAAGTTTCATTAATCAAGTCCCTTAGGTTGACTTTTTAAAAAACCAAGATGATTAAATCATAAATATGCACATTGGATTTTTTAATGAACAACTAGTCATCATCACCCTCTAACTCTGGCGACCTACATGAGCGTCTCATGGCATGTGCACGGTCCTATGCTAGGCAAATTATTATGTGTAGTGTCCGGACCGTCCGGAGGAAAATTCGGAGGCGCCACATCAACAAGATGCACCGGGGTCGGGTTGACGTGGCGTGTCTGGATTCGCCTCCGGATGCCGCACGTAATAATTTGCCCCTGTGCTGGTCTGCCTTGGCAAAACATTGTCAATGATGGCATAGGCACACTCGCCATTGCCTATATGATGCAAGCGCAACATCCCAAGGGATTCCATGGAATCCCAATCCAAGCCCAACTGTGGGATCTCATTGGACGACCATGCACAAACTTGATAAATTTCCCAAGCAATTCAATCCTCTTTGCCGGATGCTTGGTTAAATGTACCAGGAATGCAAAATAAAGTAAATCTGGCCTATTTGGTTGCATTTACTTTAGATTTGTGAATAAAATGAACTATGAAGGTAACTTCATTAAACTATACAAACTTTGCTTCAAATCAAACACCAAAAAATCAACTTTACAGGCAAATGTTTCACTCAAACAAACAACAATTAAGTAACCACAATTCAAGGCCTTCAAACGTTAGCAATTTCTATAAATTTCAGTATCTGGAAACAGAAGCCATACAAATAGACATAAAAATAAGTCCAGAACGGACAGATTTAGCTTTTCACAGTACTAATTAAATTATATGTGCCCCAAGCGAATGTAGCTAGGATTAATAATAGTAAGTAAAAGGAAATAAATAGAAAGAGATAAAAAGATGATGAAATTTGAACAATAATTGCTGATTTATAAAACTTTTACAAAAATTCTGGGATAGGACGTTCATAGAGTTGCACATATTATTTAAGTTAAATCTTATGTTTTCATTTTTTCGGTGCGTTTCCATTCATCAAGGAATATGAAGCATTTGTTATGGACTATATAAGCAAATATCAACTGTTGATACATCACCAAAAATTTCATCAAATTTGGCACAAATTTTGATGCAAAATTTGAACTTCAAAACAATCAGTATTTAAACTGAAAACTTTCACAAATTTTTCAAAGGGCCAAATGAAATCTGATTTGTGCGTGCTAGTAGCTAAAACAACCATCTTGTTGATTCCATCGACACTAAGGTTTGAATCCAAGTTCAAATGACTTCGAACAAAACTCTCATAAATAGAATTAAAAAAATCAAGAATTATCTAAAAGGTAAAACAGATTTTTATTTTTTTTTTGCTTATAGTCAAAATAAGGTCTTGTTAAGATTATTTCATCAACACTAAGGTCTAAGAACATTTGAATCAATGTCCAAATGATTCCAAACAAACCCCCCAAAAGCAAAATATCATAGTCAAAACAACCTTCATGTCGAGACAGTTCCATCATCGCCAAAAATGACCAATTGTAATCCAAGAAGAGCTCGTGCAAGCTGTCAAAAGAGAAATTGGAGCCAAAAGCCCCATCTTTCTCTTCTATTTTTCCTACTTCCTCCAAACTTCCAATACCTATTACTAAGATTCCACATTGTTGCCACCTCAGATTGGATTGCCTCCCTACCTCACCTCAAAATGAGCAACCATGTGGAAAAAGAGAAAAATCAATGCTAAGATTGTGCCTAAGTATCATTGTTCTTTTTCTAGAACTAATTTTGATCCATAAATTTTCCAATAATTATTCCAAGTTCGACCATCGAATTCTCGGTCTGTCAACTTCATTGAATTCATGATATCAAGAGCTTTGAAAAGTACATTTCTTTTCTTAACTAAGACTTCATTTCCATTGCACCAACACCTAGGAATCATTGATCAATTGATCGCTATGCAAAGCTGTGATTCATGCAGGTCAGTCAAGATAGCTAGGTAAAAGATAATCAAATCATTTAAAGATCAAATGAAGTCACAATTTGGTGCATCCATTGCCGATGAGAATGAGAAATACAACAATATTATTCAAGATAAACACAACAATAACCCACCCAATCTCAAAATTTATAAACAAATCTTAAATGTTTAAATATAATTCTTATAATTGCACTCTATGGATACAATAAATGCTAAAGCACTAACTACATTTAAAAATCCAAACAAGTTTTCTGATATTCTTTAAATCTCCCTCAATTTGCCAACTTCTACAACTCGTTGTCCATCAATTAAAAAAGAATTTCCTTAAGTGGTAAGAATTTCACACTATCTAATATCCTCTAGAAACTAACATAGGACATCATTTAACGACCGACATACAACATCCACCAACCACCAATATTCCAAGTCCACCAACGGTTAGTGTCTACCAGCGATAAAAGCCCAATGCATGTCAATGATTGCCATATATATCACATTTGGCATGACTTTCTTGTCAACTGACACTTCCTATAGCCTAAAATTTGATGCCAACTATCCAACACCCACCTACTACTATCCTTTAATGTATGTCATCACTTGATATCCAAATCCCCCGTCCTCTCACATCTATCATCATTTTTCGCATAACATTTAACATTTGTTATTGCCCAAAGCTACTCATCATCAAATGACCATTTTTTCCATCAAAACCAGTGCTCAATCAACCAATATATTCCTCTCTTGGCATAAAGAATGAAACATCCAACTCTTCATACATCAGAGACAACATATTTGGGTTTTGTTATCCACCATAGAAAAGGTAAATTTCTTCCTAACCTAGGTATTTATACTGTAAAGACGAATTATGTAGACATGTGGAAATGCATCCTCATTGCAACACAGGACTTTACTAGTGAGGTTTTTTGACTAGGTAAGGCCCTCTGATTTTAACTTCATCGGTCTTCCACATAAGAAAGCTGGTGTTCCATGTTCTTCCTAAGTAATAAACTAATCAAGCACATTAACCTAAAAGATTCTTAAGAATTGAAACTCCCTTCACATATTGGTTATGGTCCAATATTAAAGGAGTTATCGACGCTTCCAACGAAAATAAGTTAGAAAGGTTTACCGATAAATGGGGAAAATTGGGTGACAGCTAGAAGCAGCCGTCTTAGAAAAGTTATTTCGTGTAAATGCTTCCTAACATGCCAGTGTTGAAGTCAATTTTGTGTTAAAAAGAACAAGCTAGTTTTTTTTTTAGGAGAACAAGTGAATAGCACAGATAAAGCTCAGGAAAGAAAGCAATTTTACCATTCAATAGCCAAATACAAGAAGGGCTAGGGTTCAAACTAAAAGCACCGATCAAATAACAGGAAGCACTGGCATTTCAAAAACCTAAAATAAAAATCTTTCTCTTTTATCCTTCCTACTTCCTCCAAACTTCCTATACCTATTACTAAGATTCCACAACCACCTCATATTGGATTGCCTCCCTACCTCACCTCAAAATGAGCAACCACGTGGAAAAAGAGAAAAATCAATGCTAAGATTACGCCTAATTATCATTGTTCTTTTTCTAGAACAAATTTTGATCCATAAATTTTCCAATAATTATTCTAAGTTCGACCATTGAATTTTTGGTATGTCAACTTCATTGAATTCATGATATCAAGAGCTTTGAAAAGTACAACTAAGACTTCATTTTCGTTGCACCACCACCTAGGAATCATCGATCAATTGATCGCTATACAAAGCTGTGGTTCATGCAGGTCAGTCAAGATAGCTAGGTACAATATAATCCAATCATTTAAAGATCAAATGAAGTCGCAATTTGGTGCATCCATTGCCGATGAGAACGAGAAATACAACAATATTATTCAAGATAAACACAACAATAACCCACCAATCTCAAAATTTATAAACAAATCTTATTTGTTTAAATATAATTCTTATAATTGCAACTCTACAGATACAATGAATAGTTTAAGATGCTAAAGCACTGACTACATTTAAAAATCAAAACAACATTTCAGATATTCTTTAAATCTCCCTCAATTTGCCAACTTCTACCGCCCATTGCCCATCAATTAAAAAAGAATTTCCTTAAGTGGTAAGAATTTCACACTATCTAATATCCTCTAGAAACTAACATAGGACATCATTTAATGACTAACATACAACATCCACCAACCACCAACATTCAAAGTCCACCAACGGTCAGTGTCTACCAACAATAAAAGCCCAATGCATGTCAATGATTGCCATATATATCAGATTTTACATTACTTTCTCTGTCAACCTACACTTCCTACTGCCTAACATTTGATGCCAACTGTCAATGCCCACCTACTACTATCCCTTAATGTATGTCATCACTTGATATACAAAATCCCCCATCCTCTTACATCTATCATCATTTTTCGCCTAACATTCAACATTTGTTATTTGCCTAAAGCTAATCGTCATCAAATGACCATTTTTTCGATCAACACCAGCTGTCGCTCAATCAACCAATCTATTCTTCTCTTCGCATAAAGAATGAAACATCCAACTCTTCATACATCAGCGACAACATATTTGTGTTTTGTTATCCACCATAGAAAAGGGAACATATTTGTGTTTTGTTATCCACCATAGAAAAGGGAACTTTCTTTCCTAACCTAAGCATTTATATTGTAAAGACGAATTCTGTAGAAGCGGAAATGCATCCTCATTGCAACACAAGACTTTACTGGTGAATATGTATTTTGACTAGGTAAAAGGCCTTTGATTTTTAACTTCATCGGTTTTCCACACAAGAAAGCTGGTGTTCCATGTTCTTCCTAAGTAATAAACCTAATCAAGCACATTAACCTAACAGATTCTTAAGAATTGAAATTCCTTTCACATATTGGTTAAGGTCCAATATGAAAGGAGTCCTAAGGCTTATATCGAAGCTTCCAACGAAAATGAGTTAGAAAGGTTTACCGATAAATGGGGAAAATTGGGTGATAGCTAGAAGCAGCCCGCTTAGAAAAGTTATTTCGTGTAATTGCTTCCTAACATGCCAGCGTTGAAGACAATTTTGTGTTAAAAAGAACAAGCTAGATTTTTTGTGAGAACAAGTGAATAGCACAGATAAAACTCAGGAAAGAAAGCGATTTTACCATTCAATCGCCAAATACAAGGGCTAGGGTTCAAACTAAAAGTACAGGTCAAATAACAGGAAGAACTGGCATTTCAGAAATCTAAAATAAAAACGTACGAGAGTTTGGCGGAACTCCTCCTGGAAAGCTTTTCGCTGGGCGGCAAGTGTCTCAGCAGCGGCAGATTTCGCAGCTTTGCGCTGTTCATTGGCTAGGCGAATGGCCTCGCGCTTCGCCTCGTCCTTGCGCTGCTTCTCCGCCCTCAGAATCTCCATCTCGTGTACGTACTCTTTCCGCAGCTGAGCCACCTGCTTCGAGTAGTCCTTGCGGAGGCGATCAAGCCTCGCCTCCGCCTCCCTCGGATCGGACGCCGGCTTCCAGCTACCCAGAAATTCGCATGGCTTCAAGAACTCGTGCGGAGGTGGAGGAGGTGATCGCCTGGAGGGCGGAGCTGAAGATGACGATCCTGAAGAAAATAGGAGGGGTTGTGCGGCGAAGAGAAGTTTCTGAAACGGTCGAAGATGGCAGCGGTGAAGGGTAGATTGGTGAAGGAAGCGAGCTAATGCCATGGAGGGATATTGGAAAGCAGATTAGCGAGCAATCATTCTTCTCCTGGATCGGAAAATCACACTTTGGAAACCTAACTAGGCAAAGGGGTAGGGGAATGTTTAAAGGGCAAATTATTAGCTGCCGAGAGGCTTACTTTCCGACGGCTTTTTTATTTCTAAAACGGTATGTTTTATTACAAATTTTTTTATTTTTAACTAAAATTTTATTTTAGAAATCAATAAAAAAATTGTCCCAAACGAAGATCCCAAACGAAGACTTAGGCTTCGTTTGGGACGGCTTTTTTATTGCTTTCTAAAATGGAGTTTTAGTACAAATTTTTTTAATTTTGTATAAAAACTTCGTTTTAGAAAGCAATAAAAAAATCGTCCCAAACGAAACCTTAGTCACATCAATAAAATGAGTTCACTTCACTTCAAAATTGTACCGCATTCGATACCAAATATAATATCTAGCAGTACCGAACGTCGGTACCATTCAATATCAAATAATACTTGATGGTTCTTCCATCCGGTGTCCATATAGAATAATCTCTCGAAACAAGATAAACGATAAATAAATCACTTTATAACAGATTGAAGGTTGTCCGACCCGGATAGTCCTTTTGCTATCAAGTAAATAACCATGTTAGGTAATCTCCAATCAAAGGGCAAATTTTCATTTAAAGTAGACATTATTACGTGCGATATATCGAAAAATGAATCAAGATGCATCACGTTATTATTTTGTTGTGTATCGATGTTGTGTATTGTTGTGTACTGAATGATGTGACATATCCTAATTCGCCTCTGAATTATCCGGTGAATGTATGTAATTATTTCTCCATTTACAAGCACCACGTGCCTCCATTCGAATGCAAAAAAATAATATAAAATAAAACATAGAATAATCTCTCGAAACAAGATAAACGATAAATAGATCACTTTATAACAGATTGAAGGTTGTCCAAACCCGAATAGTCCTTTTGCTATCTAGTAAATAACCATGTTAGGTCATCTCCAATCAAAGGGCAAATTTTCATTTAAAGTAGACATTATTATGTGCGATATATCGAAAAATGAATCAAGATGCATCACGTTATTATTTTGTTGTGTATTAATGTTATGTATTTGTTGTGTATTGGATGATTATCCAGTGACTATACGTAATTATTTCTCCATTTACAAGCACCACGTGCCTCCATTCGAATGCAAAAAACAATATAAAATAAAACAAAACTCATTTTGAGACTATAAACAACGCAACATTATATAAACACATTTCTAAAGGAGAAAATGAAGATGAGAAAGAATTTACATAAAATATTTTTTTTTTTTATTTTAAAAATGGAATTTGATTAGAGATTAAATATTATTTGATATGATTATTACTTTATTTTAAAATGAAAAATAAAGAATTCAGTTCGAGATGCGTGATGCCCTTAGCCCGTTAGAAAATAAAAAAAGATTCACTGAAGAATTCAATTATCTTGAAAGAATCGCTAAAATTATAAACTCTAGCAGATTATTCTTTTAAAAATAAAATTAAAATAAACGTTGCAATTTAACCCCTACACTATACGCCATTTTATGTATATTACTTTTTATTTTCTTTGTTGTCTATATTATGTGTTTAATGGTATGTTTGAAAAAGCATTCTAATTATTTATCTCACCCACAGTTTTTTTATCATTTTCTTCTTGCTTTTAAAAAAAAATTTATGATTGGAAGCTATTTTTACAATCAAATTTGCTAATATATCTAGTTGTAAGAAAGCTGTTCGATTATTTCAAAAAGAATTATATTTATAATACCTACAGTAACTTTCAAAAATATTATTTTCTTTACATCAACTTCACAAATCAATTTTAAAAATATTATTTAGTCATGTCCAGCTCCAACACAGGAAATATTTTTGAGTTCGAACGATTAGAGCTGCAACCGCAAACCTTGTTCGGTCGTTCCCAACGCCTGCAAGCCCTACCCAGCTCCAAGCCGCCAATCGCTTGTAATCTGAGTTCTAAATTTCTAATATTGAGAAAACAAGTAAAACCGAGATTTGGCATTTGACAATCCCATTTTTTATGTTTAATATCCTATTTTAGCTTATAATAATTTTCAATTTATCTATTATAACAAAATATAAAATTTTACTTTGAATTATGTCCTCATTTTATTTTTAAAATATTAATTCATTTATATAAAATTTTATCCACCCTAAAATGAAAGACTGGTTCCGCCCCTGATTACCACATAAATAGTGGTAGTAGCTCTAAAAAGGAACAAAGAGAGAACAATGTATTAGATTTTCTTTAAGTATCATTTGCACTATTTTGCCTTGGCAACCACCTTTTTGCTCAGGCAAGCTTATTGTGACTGTTCTGCGTCACACAGTTCCTGCTGCTAAGAACTTATATTACTTGTCCATTTGCTGCTCTTTATATCACATCTGGCAAGAAAGAAATTCCAGGCAATCTGGACATTCTATAGACAGGCCTTGCACTAAAATCATGAAAGCAATTCTCTCTAAAACCACAAAATGGAGGAAATTCTATAAGATTAAGCACCTTATAAGAAACTTGCTCATTTCTGAGATCAAGCAAATTTCTTTCGCTGGTTTGGTGAACTAATGGATTCAGTATGATCACTTGCTACTCTTTCTGGTGGAATTGTGGTGATTACCTGGCTTCGCATACCGATAATGCTGAGTATAGATGTAAACAATGATGGTGAAATCTTGACAGGAGCTGCTCCGATGTTTTGTCATATTTGTTTTTCTATTCTGGTGTTGGGCTGTTCTGCAGCTACTTCTTCCAACCGTCTCATTGCCCCTGATGGAGGATTTTTTCATCTGGTTGGAATGGCTATTTATTTCATGTGTGGCTATCAAATCACATTACTTCCGAAAGCTATCAGTTGCCTTTGATATTTTTAAGGTTTCTTTAGTCAGGACAATGATGAATAGGGGTGTCAATATTTCACACGAGCCGAAAGCCCGACTCGAACCCGACCAAAAATTTTCGGGTTAGGGTCAACCCAGACCCAAAATGGTCGGATTCGTGTTCAACAAATCGACCCATTTCAGATTCGGGTTCACCCTAAAACCCAAAATTGACCCATTTTTTATCTAAAAATCCGAGATTGACCTGTTTTTTACCAGAAAATTGGAGATCGACCCATTTTTTACCAAAAAACAAGCAATTTTTGGTCTGCCCTGGGTCATTCGTATCGGCTCGGGTTGAACCGAACCCGAGGCGGGTCGGGTTCGAGTCCGAAAAGCTGACCCATTTTCTAAAATGGGTCGAGTTCGGGTTAACCCGAGTTGTGCTGGGTCAGTTTCAAATTCAACCCGAGCTCGACCCATGACCCAAAATTGACACCTATAATGATGGAACTTTTATTTGGTTCGGTTGACCGGATGCAGAGAAACATCCGGTTGTAGGCAAAATCCCGCCTATACCGAGGTGTACCGAGTTTTTTCACCTCGGTATAGGCGGTATTTTTCCTACGACCGGATGTTCCTCTGCATCCGGTCGGATGACGTAATAATGGCTCATAATGATGAATGCTTTTACACCCATATGGCCCATCATCCCCTCGAACAGTCTAAATGCAACCAAGCGATGCTTTCGATTCTAACATGATTCAATTTTATCTGATTATTGGGTGAATTTTTTCTCATTCTAATTCTTGTTTTGGATGCATTTATTTTTTTTTTATTCCTATTATAGTTTTAAGCGTAACATGTTTTTGTTCGCAGTTCAATATTCCTATAACTTTTTATATGTTGAATTGTAATTTTGATAGTTGTTTTCATATGTAATTATTTTCCATAGTTAATGAAATTGGGCAAAAAAAAAACAGGGGATTGCATTTGAACTTAAGGATGTGCCATACCTACTGGATTTATTGACCTTGTAATGAAAATTTGAAGGACAGTTCATTCTGCGATTTCCTGCTGCAACTGCCTTTTCCTGGGGTTATAACTAAGGAGCTTTCTGCGGTCTTTTCCTCCTGCCCCTGCCTTGCTTTTACAGACAAGTTTTTATTAGAGTAATTAAGGTTGAAGCCCAATTTCATTAACAATACAACAACAACAACATCAAGCCTTTATCCCACTCATCACAGTATTATATCAAAGCATAAAACAAAAAGAGAACTCATCACAGTATTACACCTTGAATAAAGGACTTAAAAAAAAGGGTTCTCAAGTCCTTTCCAGTTGATATAGTTTATAAATTCATTAATTATATAAATAGCAAAGATGACCTTTTGAATGGTAGCAGGTAAATTCCAATGATTATCCCAAATGCACACAATAAGATTGAAATGTTTGGGGCAATGAACGTGAGAGAGAGGAAGGGTCCATCAATTCATACAAACATTTTTAATTGCGCCAAGGGTCCAAGGAAAAAAGAAAGGTTGCTTCTATAATTAACCTTGAAAGAGAACTTTTCTATAGTGAGGTTGGTAACTTAAATGAGATTTTTCTAGGCTTATTAGCTTTAGGTAGCGGAGGTTTTGAAAGAGAGATGTATTTATTTTTACACCACTTTGCAAAAAGGCTATTGGCATTTGTAAGGTGCCAAAGATGTAGCAGATATAAGCATAATTAAGAGAGAGCCAGAATACCCAAACTTCTCACATGCCTAGGAAGGCATGTGTTCTTCCAATATATATTGTGAAGTTCTTTGGAATTCGTATTGCCATGGAGCAGGAATTTAGCTCAGAGCTTGTTAATGAATTTATAAATCCCGCTCGAGCTGATATATCAAATGAGGAAAATCTCATAATTATTGAGTCATATATATTATTATCCATCGAGATGTGTAGGCGACAACCACTATTTTTCTGGATAATCGTATGTAAGATTCTTTCTGCTCTTCCATTAGTCTGTTTGCGTGAATTGTAAAGGCCTACGACTATTTTGTCATATGGAATAGTGTGATCGTACGCTTTGCATTCTGACTCCCACAAGCAATATCCTTTCGAAGACCCACACTTATATCTCACATAATTCATCCTAGTCAAGTAGGTTTTATAAACAAAAGAATGTATATGGATAATATTATTCTTGCTTCTAAGCTTTTGGGAGAATTTAATAAATCAGGAAAAAAACATCTGTTTTGGGCCAAGCTTTCCGAAATTTAGCTCTAGTCGGCTGCTTATCTCTATTCACTCTATGGTATTTCCATATGTGGGCAAGTTGAGCACTATAGCTCAAC